CCAGTAAATGATAGCGAGGGGAGCGAATGCAACGGCTACGATTGCTTGTTCGACCCGAGTGACGAAACAGAAGCCGCCTATGAAGGCATGAGTGTTGAAATTGATGATCCACCAGGACCCGGAGGTGGTGTTCTCGCGTTTCCTCAGCAGTTACTAGTGGGCAAGGTGCATCCGAGAGATGAAGAAGTTCGCCGTGCGCTAGACCGGAAGCGTACCAAGATCGGAGCGAAGCGTGCAACAGCAGCACGACGACCAGGACTGCGCGAAGTTCCAAATACTCGCAAACCTGAGCGATACGAAGACTTTGCGGTGTACTCAGCTTTCAAGGCACTGCATGTAGATCGCCGTGGCAAAGGTGGACTGCGCGCAAGTGACATCAAGATACCACGAAGCTACAGAGAGGCAATGAGATCAAAGCAAGCAAGTTTCTGGAAGGAGGCTATGGACAAGGAGATGGCTTCACTGAAGTCCAATGACGTGCTGCTGCAGATTCCAAGAACGGAGATGCCAGCAGGACAGCATGCTATCAAGACTATGTGGGTTTTTGACGTGAAGACCGATCATTTAGGATACATTGTGACCTTCAAAGCACGTGTCGTGGCCCGAGGAGATAAGCAACGTTTCGGAATTGACTTCACGGACACATTCTCACCGGTTGCACGCATGGTGACATTCAGAATATTTGCTGCGGTATGCAACATTCTAAATCTAGTGATCTACCAGGGCGACGTAAACACAGCGTACCTCAATGCTGCGCTTGGAATAAAGCAGTATTTGGAGGAAGTCCAGGGCTACCCGTGCGAGGATGGCGGGATGATTTACATCATCAACAAGGCACTGTACGGACTACGCCAGTCCGGACGAGAGTGGAATTCAGAGGTGAATAGTTGGTTCGTGAACTATGGGTTCAATCAGTGCGAGACTGAGCCATGCCTCTACTTTTACAACAAAGATGGCGAGTTTGCCATGGTTCTCCTCTATGTCGACGACATCTTGTGCGCGACCAAGAGTGAAGAATTTAAGAAGAAGATATTTGAGAAGCTGGACAAGGACTATGGTTTGAAGGACCAAGGTCTACTCAACACATATTTGGGCGTGTAGGTGGAACACAGTGAAGACTCCATTAAAATACACCAGACCGAGTATTGTGACGAGATTATTGAGCGCTTCCACTTCAGAGGTGCGCATCCCAGTAGGATCCCGATGGAGACGACTTTGCGTCTTACCGTGAAGGACACTGACACAAACCAGCGCAAGCAGGTGGCTGCGAACGGCAAGAACTTTCCGTATCGTGAACTGGTGGGGTTGCTAATGTACCTGACGACCTGCACTCGCCCAGACCTAGCGTTTGCTGTTGGGCAACTCAGTCGCTACGTTCAAAATCCTATGCAGAAGCACATTGGCGCTGCCAAGAGAGTGCTGCGGTACCTAATCGGAACCAAAACCCAAGAAATTGTGTACGCCCGTGCCAAAGCAGCAGAGCAAGACAAGGAACTAATTATCGACGGCTACTGCGACTCGGATTGGGGGAACGACCCCGATACATGCAAAAGCATAACAGGTTTTGTCCACTGTATGGCTGGTGGAGCGATATCCTTGGCGTCGAGGCGCCAGAGCATTGTTGCTCAATCTACCGCAGAGGCGGAGTACGTAGCTGCGTGCGAGGCTTGTATGGAAGGCCAAGGATTGCGCAACGTACTGATCCAAGTTTTCCCAGACTTGAAGACCAATTTTCGCATGGGAATTGACAACCAGGCCGCTTATGTCATGGCGACGAACCCGACCTACAGTCGCAGAACGCGACACATCGAGCTACGCTGGCACTACATCAGAGACCAAGTAGCTAAACGAACCGTGGATTTGTGGAAGGTCAAACCTGAGGTGAACCCTTTCGACATTATGAAAAAGGCACTGGCTGGCGAGCGACTCGAGGCATTGTGCGCCATGATCGGTTTGTCGAGGCAGCATCTTCCTCAGTGACCGATTCACTTCGGAGGAGGGCGTGTTGGAAACCGCATTCAGGTTGAAGCAGAATGAGTTCTTTAAATCGTCTTTTGGAACTAGCTAGCAGAGTATTGGTCAGAAAGGCAGCCCAGTGCGGAATCGCCGCACTGCTGCCAGTCCGAAAGTTTCCTTTAACCCAACGAGTTGTGTGTGAGTGCGTTTGATCTGCGTTCTGTTATGCTCAATGGAAGGGACTGCTAATGTGGCTTGGCTAGATCAGAACGACCACCGACCAGACCCACCGAAATGAGCGAGACGGGTATTACCTCATTAGCTGATACCGATTCCGGTATCTCGTCGCTATCGATACCGGTATCCCACTGTCAACATGTAAATATATACTAGCCGAGCGCCGCCACTACGCGGCGGTAGTTTAGGTTTAGCTCTACTTGTTTTGGCACGCTACGCTGCGGTGGGCTAATTATTACAAAAAGCTAGGCCCCCCTATGCGCCTTAATATTTTTAAATTCATTAAGTAATCTGGGTCAGCGCATGGGGTATTTTCAAAAGTGTGCCCCTTTGACCGAAAAGAGAGTGGCGATTATGATTTTTTGTAAATTGGGCACCCTTTTTTTCACATCCCAAGGTACAGTAAGATTACTGGTATCTCTAGTAACATCTGTGCTTTGATAGTTCGGATACTTTTGAAAACTTCTGAACGCATTACGCTATCCCATAGGGGGATGGTGTTTGTCAGTCATTTTGCGACTGGTCCAACGGTCATTTATGTATTTCATTTACTACAGTAATTGTAGTCAAACTAGCGCTTTATGGCCCGCCATCAGCCTAAATGCCTCGCTAACCTGCAACTGCTTGTCCATGATCCTTTTGAGAGTCCGGTTGAGCTCCTCCGCTTTTTGTCGCTCCGCATACTCGATTGCAGCCATTGCCTGCCAGTCGCAAGTTAGTGCATCTTTCACTTCGTTCTCTCTCGGCAGCCCAACTCGATTCTGGAGCCTTTCCGCGTACTCTTCGAGGTCATGGACGTGCTCTCGCAAGAGCTGAAGTTCTGCTCGCTTGCGTCGTTGCAGTCCGGTCGACGAGCTCCAGCCCGTTCGTTTCCGTCTACGCTTCGGCTTCGTGGACGGCGTGGTGGTCTCAGATGAGCGAGTGGTGCGGTCGATGGTCGTAGGCGTGGTCGCTGGGAAATCGAGAGGTGGCAGTATTGCATGCTCGCACCAAGGGTCAGCAACGTCGCTGTTGTCGGAGAATACGTCAGGGCACACACAGCAGTCGATGAACGCGAAGAGTTCTTCCAACGACGCCATTTGTGTGTCTTCTTGCATCGCACTACTGATCTGATCCGTCCTTGAGGCCGCGCTTTCTCAAATGAGATCACACCGGTACACAAAAAACTACTGTATTACTGCAAGCACGTGCATCCTGCACTTGGCAAAATCATCCGCCTACTGCCAGTAAACTACAGGTACGGTACCAGTGGTACCACCGAAGCATACTTCACATTTTTATGCATTTGCGTTTTGCTCATCAGCCTCACGAGGTGCCACACGTACGGAGCCTATTACACTCCGTCCAGTACTATACCAGGTACTAGGCAATGGCAATCTCCCAGTAAGCCTCACCTTACATACTGGTGTAGGTACGGAGCTGCTATTAAGAAACTTCGACTCGATGAGGCATGGCCTTGCCGCGTTGCACTATTTCGACTCGGATTTGCCTCTATGGACGCAGCAGAGTATTACAGATGGCGTTTTTGTGGCTGGTCGCTCCGTATGTACAGTCGCTCTTTGTAAGTCATAACGTTTACTGCACCGCTTCAGTACACCTTTCGTTTTGGGAACATAATTGACTCGTCCAATCGCTTGGTACGGTATGTCACAATTTATAGAGTTGTGGGGAATGCTTACGATGCCCGAACTGATTACAATGGCAATTGACGACTAATAAAGGACTCAGCAACGGAATACTTCAACAACTAAGTCTTGCCTCGTTTATCATGTTGTTTCAACAGATTGCTGACACTACGTAATACCAAGTACAGCATCATTGTTCACCCACATCAAACGAAGCAATCTTTTGTCAAAGTGCATTGCCTCCTGCGTTTGAGCACCATTGACAAATCTGTCGATATGTTGCAGGCTGCAGCTTGCAGCACATCCTCGGACTCCCTGTCGTCGTACTGTATTGCCTACAAGCTGTACAACAGGCAACTACCGGTGCATGTACAAGTAAGGTAAAATGCCAGTTTAAGTCAGTGACAGATGACCAACTTTAAAAGCTCATAATTTTCAACGGACATTGAAGATGAGAATAAAACAACCACGACTGGAATTATCAGAATCTCGTCTTTCTTATTGCTAAGCGCAACACATTAATTGAGTACTATTCGGCCATCAGTGGCGGTTTGAAATTACCATCTTTTTTCGTCGTGTGCCAGTTTAAGACAATTTTAAACTTGACTTGAGTATGGACACGAGGCTTTTATGTACGATCGTGCACGTACTGTTGAATTTCTGTAAATTATGATTAGAACCCACGTGAAATTATAACCTTGACTTGGATCAAAATAGATGGTGTATTAAAATCCGGAGTATTTAGAAGCTCACCTCGAACAGAGCTGTATCACTGCTAGCAGCTTCTGACTGCTGATGCACTAGCACCAATTCGCTCTCCATGCCTTGTTCCTCTTCGTGTTTGTGCTCGTTCTAATGGTTGTGATCGTGGTATTGCTTTTGATGTAGCTCTTGGTCCTGGTGGTGCATACCACTCGCTGTCGTTTTTGTAGAAATTCTGTCTCTGCGATTTTCTTGTTCGCTTCGGCGCGTTTCGTTGGGAGGGCTGGTCAGGTTGCTGAAGCATCTCACGCGTTAAAAATCTACCAGCCACTGCCTTGGTTTTTCTTTTCCTATTCTGCTTGTGCTGGCGAGCAGGCAGACGCAAGATTTCGTGCTGTACGGTCTCCTTGTATCGCAGTCAAGAAGCCTTTTTGACGGTGGCGGAAACTCCGTTGTGTTGGAAATTGTGTAGCTTCTCGTGCATTTTTACAAGATTTAACGGAAAAATGCCGCAGCTCTGAAATCCAGATGAGATATTGCTGTTGAAATTGCAGCTTGTCCACGCTAGTGCGGCCATTTGAAGAGCCTTTTCCTTGCTGATAGTATTAATCCCGTTAGCTCGAATGATAGCATCAATAAGATCTTGGAGCGTATTTTTGAACGAAGAAAACACGGCAGTATCCAATGGCTGCAGTAAGTGTGTGCCGTTGGCAGGTGGGCACACCAATCTGATCTGCATCCGATCAGCGGTCTCAACTATTTCGGTTGCAATATGAGACGAACAGCCATCCATGACGAGAAGCAGCGGTCGCTTGACAGGTGTGGGTACCGACAAAGCGAAAAAAAACAATCCATTTTGCGAGTAGTGTCGCTGTCATAAATGCCTTTGGAGTAGTTGTCACTGCTGCTCCATGAATACTGCATTGCTCTAAGAGTTCGGTCTCCACACGCTCACCGGGTAGAATGAATAACGGAGGAGCGACGAAATCACTAGCGCTACCGCACGCTACAAGCGAGAGGTGAAAGCTGGTAGTAGGATCCGTATGCCAGACGTTCTTGGATCCTTTAAGTGCTATGACCCGTGTGGTCTTACGAGAGCTTTCAAATGTTTCGTCCATGTTGAAAACGCGGCTCCCATCCATGTTCTCCTCCACGATAACCTTGCCAAAGAACTGAAAAGTGTAGCCACCTCTAATTCAGTCACATTATTGCGCACCTTTGACACCGACTGAGAAGCACGAGAGCTCAAGTCATGAAATCTTCCTTTAAATCGACGGTACCATCCCATGCCTACTGGTTTGCCGGTAACTAGCTTGGAAATATGTTGAGCTTTTCTGACAATATCCTTCCTTCCAACCGGAGCTCCCTCAACTTGTTGACCCACAACCCATTCGTGAATACTTTTTTCGGCTTCCTTGGGCAGAGTGGGATCAGGTCCGCGCCGTTTGCTGAAGGTGTACGGGCCATTATTCCCGTTCTCACGCCAATTAACGTCCTCTCCAACCCACCGGAACGAGTTTCGAACTGGAACACCGCTCTCCTCGCCAATAGCTTCAATATTGCCTCCCTCGTGAATAGACCTCACCAATTCCATCTTCTTCTTGCTGCTATACGTTGTGCGACGCTTCATGGTTGGAAGCCAGATCAAAGCTGACAGGTATTCGTGGAGGCGAGCGCCGCTCTAAAAATAACCAATTAGATGCATCTACGACTGCTATTGGTGCGCCTTAAACTGATCCAAATGACTTAAACTGGCATTTTACCTTACATTACTTATAGTTGCATCGATTAATTTACTTGTATTTTATTGTCTTCGGAGACCAGCTGTAGTGGTTGGTGCATTGGTGACCAAGCCTTGCCCACTGCACTGGGCCGCACAGAACGTGCGGCCAAGCTGGCATAGGAAGTAGTAAGGTATAGTCGAGAGCTATAAGGTATAGTCGAGGACGTGACATCACGTACCGATAAGCCGTAGTGATAAGTTTAGTCAGTGAGTTTGAGTTTTACCTCAAAGCAAGCAATAGATCAAGGCTAAAAGGAAGCGCCAGCTTCCCTCGTGTGTGTTCGAGTTTCGATACCCACTACAAAGATATCTTTAGTTGCGAAGGTAGTAACTTTGAACGGAAACAAGAATCATGACGTCGAGTCAGCTAGCTAACCAGGAGAGCGCCGCCAAGGTGCAAATCGAAGACGATGCAAGTGTCAGCGTTCCGGTGGTGGTACAGCCATCTGTACCACGAGCTCCGCAGCCAATTTAACGCTATCGTGAACGCGCCGTCGATCACCGATGTGTCGCGTGAAGCCCTGTTAGATTGGCTTAAGTTCCGGAAGGAGTACGTAGCCGTCACGGAGGCGAGATGCAAGGCCGGTAACGAGGACGTGAAGGCTGTTCTGCGCTCAGTGCGCAATTCGTTTGATGAGAACCTATTGGAGACTATGTGCGAGACACGTTGGGACGTGGACCTGGATAATTTGACGGACGAATTTCTCATGACCAAGATTACGGAGATAACCGCGAGTTTCAAGAACAGAGAGTAGCCTGACATGGATGCGCTCTTTAGTGCAGAACTGAAGTTTGACATGTCACGCTCGGATATTGAAGGTCGTGTTACTGCGTATTTTCATCTTGCGAATGAGATTATCAAATGCAACGGTGTGAAAGACCTCTTCTTGGGCGAAGAAGGAGTCAAACGCAAATGTAAGGTGTTGATGAATTTCCTGCCTGGGCCTTTAAAAAAAAGGTTAAAAATGAACTGGAATTTCGCAGCAGTGAAGCAAAGGCCTCTGTGAGAAAATTATTTGCTTTGGTGAATGATTTTGCTCTGGAACTGCACAGGGCAGACGAATCTGCGAGACAGATGAATGCCAGAGTTGCAAAGCAAGGCAAAAGCTTCAGTACGAAGAACTCTACGAAGTCGTTTGGTAAAAAGCCAGTGATTACCACGTTTGGTGTTACGGTTGGAGCAAAGCGAAGCGCCGATGTCCCGCCGAGGTCTGACAAGCAGCGTAAGTTCGCCCGTCCACCGAATACCAAAAAGTGTTTTCATTGTGGCAAAGAACACGAATTTGTCAACTGCCCCACGGCAACCAATGCCAACAAAGCTGCAATCCGAGCCAAAAGACGTGAAGAATATCTGTCGAGGCAAAAAGACGGGCGGCAGCAGCAACGATGACGCAATTAAGGCCTGTCATATTCGCGAGTGTCTTCCACCAGAAGGCGGTACAGTACTGCTTGAAGGTGTGTTGAGTGTTCCGCTCTGTGCGGATAGTGGAGCGACGCAGTCAAGTATGAGCGATCGAGTGTTTAATCGGTTGAAGAAGGTGTGTCCGGGAGTCGAAAATGTGGAGTTGGAGAATCCCATTCCGTGCATTACGGTGAGCGGTGATGTGGAGGTAAGGAAAGCAGTAAATGTGAATGCCACGTTACGAACAGCGGCAGGACCAGTGTCGATCAGCTCTCCGGTACAATGTTTGATTGTACCCGGTGAACTCGAAGAATTTCTCCTTGGTAAAGAGATGCTGGCCTCTTTGGGCATTGACGTTGACAGAGAGTTGGAAATGCTGGCTAGCCAAGGCCAGTATTACGAAGTAGATGATTTTGATGAACCTGAAGTGAGCTCGAGACCAGAGTTGAGTGATGAATTTAACAAATTGGTGCGAGGTTTTGTTGAAAAAGCCAAGCAGCGTAATTTCCCGGTGAATTATCTTGGAGAATTGGAGAGAATCGCGACGAGGTTTGATATTTGGAGATTGACGCTGGGAAACGACCCTCCTGCTCGAGTGCCACCTATGCGAATACGACTGAAAGAGGATGCTAAACCTTACAAATGTAAGGCAAGGAAGTATCCACCGGAGGTCAGAAAGTTTATGGAGGACTTTAACAACAAATTGGAGGGACTTGGACGGATCTACGAGAATCCTAATAGTAGATGGGCTTGTCCAGCTCGCCAGTTCGAAAGCCTGGTACTAACGAGTTTCGACAGACAGCAGATTACAAACCAACAAATATCCAGATTGATGGTATTGTAGGCGTCATGCCAAACCCGCAAGTTGACTTGGAATTGGTGCGAGGATGTCAGTTCTTTGGGTTGTTTGATTTTATCAAAGGGTACTGGCAGATTGCTTTGGATGAAGCTTGCCAAGAAATACTCTCCTACATGACCCACCAAAAGATTTACACACCAAGACGCGTACCACAAGGGAGTTGCGATGCAGCTTTGTTTTTTCAAGCAACGATTGAGAAGTGCCTACAAGAACTGTTGTACAAGCACTTATTGGTGTGGATAGATGACCTGCTACTCTATGCAGTCGATGTTAAGACGTATCTCTCAAAGTTGGAAAGATTGTTCGAGCTACTTGATTACTTTGGCTTTAAACTGAGTGTGTCATAGTCGAGTCTGTACGAATTGGAGGTTATTTGGTGTGGTAAGATCATTACCGGTGCTGGTGTGAGCCACGAACCGGAGCGTATTAAAGCGTTGAGTACCGTACCGTATCCTACCAAGGCTGGTGAGTTACAGCAATTTCTCTGTGCGTCCAACTGGATGCGTAAGAGTGTTGTGGACTTCGCCAGAGCAGCTAAACCACTACAGGAAAAGCTGGATCAAGTACTTTCTACTGCATCAAAGAAGACAAAACGTGTAGCGTCCGGAATTGGCATAGAGTTGTCGAACAGCGAACGAGAGGCGTTTGATGGCTTAAAGGACAAGCTAGCAAATGCAGCAAGTCTGGCTTTCCCTGATCCAGAGGCAGTGATGTGCCTCATCACTGACGCATCCGACATTGGCTTCGGCATCATTGTGAGTCAAGTGCGCAAGTGGCAGACTGGGAAACCTGTAGTAGAACAACAGCATGAGATTTTGGTGTGCGTAAGCGGCACATTTACGGGCTCGCAACGCAACTGGAGTGTCATCGAGAAAGAAGCGTACCCAATCATTTGTGCATGTGATCGACTCAGCTATCTGCTTTTACGCCCGCAAGCTGAATCGTACGAGGAGTGCGCTTTCCGAAGATTTGGAGCTAGCGAGATGATAAGGCATGATCGGGAGCCAGGCTTTATGTCCGATTTCGTTCGAGCATTCAACCGGATCCTGGGGCAGCAACCAGGGCATATCGACGGAACCAACAATGTGTGGGCTGATATGGTGTCGTGGTGGGCTGGCAATCACGACAATGGTGTAGCTCTGCGAGCTATGGTGTTACGGAAACGCAGGCGAGGAGAGGAAGAAAGGACTCCGGTAAGCCGGAATAAGCGTCGACGAGGGAAGGAAGATAGGATCCCGACGATGCAGGCCAAGCGTCGAGGAGGGGAGGTAGATAGGACCCTGACGACACGACCAGTGAGCACTACATCGACTATAGCAAGCAACAACGCAGCGAAGACTGCTAGTAGAGCGGTAATACGACCGTTTGACGACCCAAACTTCACGTGGCCAAAACTTGACGAGATTATTGTGGCTCAAGAGCAGCACAGAAGTACTGTACCAGCGGATACTTTGACTCGGGTTAACTCGGGCAAGGGTTGGTACTGCAAAGGAAGTCTGTGGATCCCAGAAGCAGCGGAGGTACTGCTCCAGCGCCTCATGATCGTAGCACATTGTGGTGTACAAGGTCATAGAGGACGAGCCACTATGATGGAGCAACTACAACGACAGTTTTTTGTGGACCATTTACGAGCAAAAGTGGATAAATTTTTGACATCATGCCTGTTGTGTCAGCATGTAAAGGGCGGTAAAGTGGTGCAGCGACCTTGGGGTGAAACACTACGTTGTCACGAGCGAAATGGAGTTCTACACTGGGATTTTCTCACTGTAGGTGAATCATTTGGCAGTGACAAATATCTACTTGTACTGAAGGATGAGGCGACACACTACTGTGACCTGGTGCCGTGTGCGACCCCCAATAGTGCTGTAGCGGTGGCGGCCATCCTAGACTGGCACGGCCGGTACGGCATTCCACCAGTATGGGTGAGCGACCAAGGTAGCCATTTCAAGAATGCAGTTGTAGCAGACGTATGCAAACGACTAAGATGCGAACAAAGGTTCACGGTGGCTTACAGCCCCTGGATCAATGGTAGCATCGAACGTGTGAACCGTGACGTGATCCAAGTGCTCAGAGTACTCTGTCTAGAGTATAAAAAGGACATTAAGGACTGGACATCTTTTGTACCGCTGCTAAAGGCAAGTATAAATCATACCCCACTGCCGTTACCTGGGAACAAGGCTCCTGTGGAGTTATTCTGTGCGCTGCCGCTACCGAGCCCACTTGAGTTTTGTGTAGACCCAGAGCAGAAGCGAGTTGTGGAGATGACTAAGCAGCCCGAGTTAATATCGCAAAAGCTCGAGGAGCTGCGAGAAAGTGTTCATAAAATGCATCGTGCAGTGGAAAAAGAACGTGCGAAGCAAACCCGAAGGAACAAAGACAAGAAGGTTGGTGCACGGAAGGCCAATTTCAGTGTGGGTGACTTTGTGTTGAGGTCTAGAGTAGACCAGAAACACCAGGACAAGCTGTTGATTATTTAGGTTGGGCCGTACCAGATTGTGCGTGCGGATGTACACTCATTTGTGGTCCGACACCTCGTGACTGGTGTAGAAACAAACGTTCACGCGTCTAGACTAAAGTACTACGCGG